CCTCACTATCACCGCCAACGCCGCCACCACTGCCCCAGTCGTCACTGCCATCTCCAACAACTACCATTTTTCAACTTCAACTTCAAAATCACCACCACCTCGCAATCACAACCACCAATGAAATCGTTGCCTCCCAAAAAAACCAACAACTCATATCAACAAACGCCATCACCTCGCCTCACCAGAAACAAAATGCCGCTAGTTATGTGACGTTGCCTCCACTACCACCACTTTAAAATCATGAACAACCAAAGGTCGCACCACTACGACCACCTGTGCCACCAATAGAACCAGCACCACCACCACTCCAACACAATCAGCAACCAAATGTCGCACCACCACACTGTTGAAATTATTGTTCAAAATTAATAAAATTGGATTTGGAATGAGAAATGGTTGAATTACACTATAGTTAGATTTAAATCGAAAGATATCTAATCCTTATGCATGCGTATTGTATATTTTGAATATGAGATTTTATTGAATTTTGAACAAGTGGGTGATTATTGAAGTTATTGTTCAAAATTAAAAAAATTGGATTTGGAGGCCAAAAGTATTTAATATGCAACCGCATAGGTCGTCTCGAATGCGGTCGCATATAGACTTGCAGGGATTTCAAGCCCTGCAGATGATTCTTCTATGCGACCGCATAGAACAAAAAAATAGATGTTGGGTTGGCTTTTTTGTTTGAATTTGTGGTGACTTTTGGTGAAAAGTTCATGAATTTTTGGCGCCATTTCGTGTGTATTCATAGAGATCTATAAATAGATGCCTTGTGATCAATATCAAATATATTGAAAATAATATAGAAATCCATTGAAATCATATTCCATTCCAAATGTGAAAAATACTCTTCTATCATATTCAAAATTCATCTTTGTGTTCTTGATATTTTGGTAGAAAACACCAAGTGTTTAAGTATTTTTTCTATTACGAGACTTGATAAATTCTACAAACTATTTACCAAAATACCCTTTAAGCACCAAAATTCAATCTGAGAGGTGGCAAATATCATTTGAAGACGGCTATATCATTTTCGTGTTTGAGTCTTTTTTGATTGTTCTTTGAAGTTCTTGATTACATTCTTTGATTTCATCTTCAACCCCTTTAAGTGGAAGCAATATTTTCCAACACACACCACCACCACGACCTGCACTGCCAATAAAACTATCACCACCTACTCCACTACCAACAGAACCACAATCACAATAACCACCACCACCTAAACAACCACGACTATCATCACCCACAAACAACCACCAACAAATCAATAGCCTCACGCGCGGAGGTCAGAAAACCACCAATAGACCTGCATGTGGCGTCGCTGCGTGCGACGTGCAACACCACGTGCAACACCACTGCGTGCAGAGAGGTGTTGTGCAACGATTTTGCATGCTGCTACTTAGTAATGGAGATAAGTCATCGGAGAGCTGCGCGCCACCGATGGAGATAAGCTGCTTGGCAATGGAGATAAATAGAGGTGTCAATCCGGTGGTCCGGGCCGGGTTGGCCCGCCAACAGGTGAGCCCGATCATGGCCCGCGTAAAAAAAAGCCCGCCCGCTGCGGGGTCCGGGNTTTATAGCTCACAATTTATTCATTGGTCACAAATCAAAAATTTTATAAGTCACAATTTATTTATCTGTCACAAATTACAAATTTTATAAGTCACAACTCAAATTTTTAAGTCACATTATTTATTGATCACAATTTATCGGTCACGTATTATTTATTGGTCACAAGATATCAAAATTATTGGCGACAAACACTCTTAGAGCATGTTTAGAAGGGATTAAAATCCAATTAAAATTGAAAATATAGTTATTATTGAGTCCCACTCGTTTAATGAAAGTCAACAATAACGGCTAGTTTTTCAATTTTAATCTCTACTGAACACGCCCTTAATCTTACCACCTACCCCCACCCAATCCCAATCCACCATGGCACCACCCGAAAACAGCTCCACCTCACTATCACCGCCAACGCCGCAGCCGTCGCCGCCACCTCCAACAGCTACCATTTTTCAACTTCAAAATCACCACCACCACCTCACAATCACAGCCGCCAATGAAATCGTTGCCTCCCAAAAAACCAACAACTCATATCAACAAACGCCATCACCTCGACTCACCAGAAACAGAATGTCGCTGATTATGTGACGTTGCCTCCACTACCACCACTTTAAAATCATGAACAACCAAAGGTCGCACCACTACGACCACTTGTGCCACCAATAGAACCAGCACCAGCACCGCCCCAACACAATCAGCAACCAAATGTTGCACCACCACACCGTTGAAATTATTGTTCAAAATTAATAAAATTGGATTTGGAATGAGAAATGGTTGAATTACACTATGGTTAGGTTTAAATCGAAAGATATCTAATCCTTATGCATGCGTATTGTATATTTTGAATATGAGATTTTATTGAATTTTGAACAAGTGGAAGATTATTGAAGTTATTGTTCAAAATTAAAAAAATTGGATTTGGAATGAGAAATGGATTTGGAGGCCAAAAGTATTTAGGGTGTGTTTGATGGATATTATTTTGGAAGAATATATTTTGGAATAGTAGATTGATGGAGAATGTGTGGTTGAAAAAGAAGGAAAAGTTATTGATGTGATGGAAAATATTATTTTAATGAAGAATGTGTGGTTGAAAATGAGTAGAAGAATGAGNAAGAGTGTATGGTTGAAAATTAGTAGAAGAATGAAAATGAAAATTTTAAAGGGTACCAAACACACCCTTAATATGCAACCGCATAGTTCGTCTTGAATGCGGTCGCATATAGACCTGTAGGGATTTCAAGCCCTACAGATGATTCTTCTATGCCACCGCATAGAACAAAAAAGTAGCTGTTGGGTTGGCTTTTTTGTTTGAATTTGTGGTGACTTTGGTGAAAAGTTCACGAATTTTTGGCGCCATTTCGGGTGTATTCATAGAGATCTATAAATAGATGCCTTGTGATCAATACCAAATATATTGAAAATAATATAGAAATCCATTGAAATCATATTCCATTCCAAATGTGAAAAATACTCTTCTATTATATTCAAAATTCATCTTTGTGTTCTTGATATTTTGGTAGAAAACACCAAGTGTTTTAAGTATTTTTTCTATTACGAGACTTGATAAATTCTACAAACTATTTACCAAAAAACCCGTTAAGCACTAAAATTCAATCTGAGAGGTGGCAAATATCATTTGAAGACGGCTATATCATTTTCGTGTTTGAGTCTTTTTTGATTGTTCTTTGAAATTCTTGATTACATTCTTTGGTTTCTTCTTCAACCCCTTTAAGTGGAAGCAATATTTTCCAACACACACCACCACCACGACCTGCACTGCCAATAAAACTATCACCACCTACTCCACTACCAACAGAACCACAATCACCATAACCACCACCACCTAAACAACCATGGCTATCATCACCCACAAACAACCACCAACAAATCAATAGCCTCACGCGTGGAAGTCAGAAAACCACCAATAGACCTGCATGTGGCGTCGCTGCATGCGACGTGCAACACCACTGCGTGCTGAGAGGCGTTGTGCAACAATTTTGCATGCTGCTACTTGGTAATGGAGATAAATCACCGGAGAGCTGCGCGCCACCGATGGAGATAAGCTACTTGGCAGTGGAGATAAAGGAGAGGAGAGAAGGAAGAGGAAAGTTAAATTATTTTATAATATTATTATTAATATTAAAAATTTTAATTATCATTTGATTTTTGTATAAACAAACTTTAAATTTGATTTTTTAAGTTGGATCTTAAAAAATTTGGTTTGGTATAATCTCCACTAAAATAAAACTAAGTCCATATTTGGGCTCCATTATCTCCAAAATAATTTTTTTTAAATTCATTTTTAACCACAAATTCTTCCATAAAATAATAGTATACGTAAACGTAAAATTTTTCCTTATATTTTAATCACACATTCTCAAAAAAGTCATTATTCCAAAATAAGAATTTCTCTCAAAATCAGATTAAAATGTAGTCCAATCAATGGCTATTTATGAAAAGAACAACCCTTCTCATTTTTCCATACTTGGGGCCAATGTTAAAATTGTCCAAGTATAAATTATTTTGTGCACAAATTCTTCTAAAAAAACATGCTAAGTAATTTGTATTATGGAATTTTGTTAATAGCTTTACTTTACTCTACTAGCTCCTGTTGGGCTCCCGTTATTTGATGTTACAATTTTTGGAATAATATTTTTTTTAGAGAATATGTGATTAAAAAGAAGAGAGGAAAAAAGTATTATAAATTATATCTAATTTCAAAACCTAAATGTGGCTAGTAGTTTGCTGTTTCGAATCTAGTGCTTTGATGCAGTTAGCAATGCGNNNGTGCTTTGATGCAGTTAGCAATGCGTAACTCACGACATTATACGTTTTCCCAACAACTCTAGTGTCCAATCAAAAATTGATGATGAGGATGCCATAAGATGTTTTCCCTTGTCCTAATATTTTGGTGAAAATAATTGTGAGGAATCGGGCGCTGTGTTGGTAGAACGTATGATAGTGTTTTTTCGTCAAATTCAATGAAAAAATGTCAACTGTCTTCTAGTAAAAAGTCTTGACAGTTTTTATGTACAAGTAACGTGGCTTATTTTGGTGGTGTGTTGATGAAAAGAAGATGGTGGGTACAAAATTTGAGAAGATGTTATTTTTTTCAATCTTACAAGATATTTTATTTACTAGACATGAATGGGAAAATAAGTAACAAAATATTTTTACCAATTATATTCAGTTCAGAAATATCAGACAAGTCTCTAATAGCTTAAATTTTATTTTCCTTTTTATAGTCTACTAGATTTAGAAATAAATTTCTATAAAAAAAAGAGAGAGAAAAAATTCCATTTCTGTTACATAGATATCGAATGACACTGACTGCTCGCCACGTTTATATATACACCCAAATCCGCTCTCCTCATCACAATCGAAATCAGCACCATTTTGGTTGGCATTCTTGAATCAAGAATCCACTAATAATGGTCCGAGTGAGTAACAATTTGGTTGGCATTCTCAATCTGATCACACTTTTGCTGTCAATTCCCATCATAGGAGGGGGAGTATGGCTCTCAAAGCAAGCCAACTCAGAGTGCGAGCGATTTCTTGACAAGCCAGTAATAGCTTTAGGAGTCTTTATTCTGCTGGTTTCAATTGCAGGTTTAGTGGGTTCTTGCTGTAGGGTTTCATGCCTTTTATGGGTCTATTTAGTGGTCATGTTCTTGTTGATTCTTCTTCTGTTTTGCTTCACAATCTTTGCATTTGTGGTGACAAATAAAGGGGCTGGTGAGGCACTTTCAGATAGGGGGTATAAGGAGTATAGATTGGGGGATTATTCAGATTGGCTACAGAAAAGGGTTACTAATGGCAATAATTGGAATAAGATTAGGAGTTGTTTGCAGGGTAGTAGGATTTGTCAGAGACTTCTTGATCATGGGTCATCCACAAAAATTGAAGATTTTTACGGACAACACCTCTCTTCCCTTCAGGTATTTTTTTGTGATTCATTATTAATGATGGAACAGAACTGCTTTAGATCTGGGTGCTCAGATTTGCCTGTGTTTACATTTTTATGTGTGTGAAATTTCTTGAAATTGTACTCGACTTATTTCAACACGTGTTATAATGGTGACTATGATCTATTATTTCTCAGGTATTTCATAAAAGTTTTTTATTTTAATCGAGAAACAACTGGGAAATTGTTATGGTTTGTTTGATATAACTTTGTTAACTTTTCAAGGGCCACATTTCATGGCAGCATAATTTTTATGAACTTTGTCAAATAACCCTTTAATGGGGTCCATAAACATTTGTCAAATTTAGAGAAGTGAAAACTGAAAAGTTTACTTTTCGTTCTGAAATTTTTTCTCTGTGTGTTTATTCCCAGTGCTCTTACAAAGTTGAGCGACTTTTAACTTAGAATTTATCTGGAAAAGGTGCTTTTGGAATAAAAGCGCAGTATTTGTTAGTGTATCTCTTAATACTACTAGTACTAAAAGGTTTTGAGTTTTTAGACATATATTTATGGCGGCAATTTGAGATCACTTCAAATCATTGTCAATTTCCATAGCATAGACATGCTTTTCTGTATCTTTCGTGCCATCGAGTGTTGGGGGCTGTGTGAAAAGAAATTCTATTTTTACTTTTTTCATGACGTTCATTCATATTTCCTTAACAGTACATCAATCTTTGTTTTTTGTTTTCCTACATTGCATGATCACTATCCTATGTATTTTAATTCCTGATTCTGCTGTTGCTATAGCAGTTCAATGATATTCTGAGCATGATTTTTTTTCCTTCCATGTTTCTTTTCATCATGTATTTATCTTGTATATAACACTGAATATGATACCATAGTTCTAAATTCGTGTCACTAGTCATCATTTATGACGTACACCAGAAGCTTGGGAACCATTTTTCAGTGTAGATTTTGTGTTAGGTGCAGTGAAACATTTATTTGGCTGTCATACTGTAAATACTTTTGAAGTTGGTATGCTGTCAACTGGTTTTCCTGTAACCAAAAACCTTGGAGAAAGAGTACATTTTATGGAGGCCTGTTTGTGTGGAGGTTTTTCAAAGGCAAAATAGGACTGTCGGGCGTGCATTTCTAATATTAATTTCATCTTGTGATTTTGTTTCCGGCATGAAGTCTTGATGTCTTAAGAAGAGTGCTTTCTTTCAAACCAACCCATATATTCATTTCTTGCTTGAGATGCATTCCCGGAACAATTTGAGCTTTGCTAGTTCATTCATCTTCTTAATATAGATTCCTCTTTCTTATTATGAGGCGGATTTGGTTATGACTTAATCCGTATACTGATTTTTTACAGTCTGGTTGCTGTAAGCCTTCTAACGACTGCAATTTCCAGTACATTAGCCCAACAAACTGGACTCAGGCACCAACCTCATCCTTCACTAATCCCGACTGCACTGCCTGGAGCAATGATCCGAATATCTTGTGCTACAACTGCCAATCATGTAAAGCAGGGATGTTGGACAACATCAAGAGTGATTGGAAGAGAGTGGCTCTTATCAACATCATTTTCCTCGTCTTCCTCATTATTGTGTACTCCGTTGGATGCTGTGCATTCAGAAACAACCGGGAGGACAATTCATGGAAACAGTACCCTTGAATGTATTGATTCTTATTTTTAGTTGAGACATATTAGTATCTAAAGAGAGTTTTTGAACTCTTTACCGATTTATTGCATTCAGGATGCCAAGTTGCCTGTTACAGTTTTTTTTAGGTGTACAGGTTATTGCTTTTAGCTATTTGGATTGGATGCATTAACAGATTTATTTTGCAATTGATTGGGATCTGTTGTTATAAATTGGCTTATTGTTCATTTCAAATTTTCTATTTTCTTGTTCTGGTACATTTATAACTTTGTTAATGCATATACATAAAAACGTGGTACTGATTGATTTCCTGAATGTGGTCGCGCATAGTATTAACTGTCAGTGGGGGCATTTTACCCTTACATCACTGGTTGGTGTGTTATCAGGTTTGGATATGAAGAACTCAATGCAGACACAACAAGAAGTGCTCCCAACAGTGAAAAAGATGAACAATTATTGGTGCAGCCAAGAGAAGAAGAAAAGATTGAGCAGTGAGCAGTCAGAGTCATTGGAGAATAGTTTCCAAGAGGAGATTAAGCTGGATCCTGACCGGAAAATGAAGCTGGCCAAGGAACTAG